GAACGCTCAAAAAAAAAACAAAATCAACAATACCAATTTATTATCATTGTCATTATCATCATCATCATCATCACTAGACGATGAAAATGATGATAGTACAACTCGTTGTTTAATTGTAAGTTTTGATTTCTTTTTAACTGTTGATGTATCAGAATTTGATGATGATCGTGTCGAACGTTTGCCATTAATTAATTGTTTTTTATCTTTAACAGATGATTTTTTTTTATCATTATTATTTACATTTTCATTATTCGAATCTGATGATGATGATGATTTTGAACGTGTAAGCAAATGAGCATATGATGGAACTTCAATTGGTGGTCTGAAGTAAAGAAAAAAACGAATTTCATATGTTTACAGTTATATATAAAAAAAAATATTTGATTATTTCAATAAATACAAAAAAGTCATTCCAAAGGTGACTATAAAATTTTGAATACAGAATGAGATGTATGTAGATTTGTAGAGAAAGACTTCTTCTATCTAATAGTGTAAGTATGATTAGATTCTACTACAAGCTGTTGGCATGTCGATAGGTGGCATCACGTTTCGACATATCAAAGATGGAATCGATTTGAAAAGCTGCTAACGGAACTGATCCTATCTATGATGCATGTGCTATTATATAGAGAAAGTCTTTCTCTACAAGCCTATATATATATATATTCTTTTCTGTAGTCATAAATCATCGAAAAATTTATAATCGCCTTTAGCATCAAAAGGATAAATAATAATGATTATATTCAAAAAAAGAAAGAAAATGTTTACCCATCATGAGTAGAATCTTGAGTTGATGATGAATCAATTTCATTGTTCAATGGATCTTCTATATCATCATTAAGATTTGTTTCCATTTGTTTATCTGGAGTTATATCAAGTGATGTAAATATTGATTCATTATCATTATTTTCTATAACATCTTTTAATATTTGATCTTCATCCATTGGAGTTATTTCTTGAGTAATAGCTAATGAATCTTTTAATATTGGTTCATCTAATGATGATTCATTTTCTATTGTTGATGGTAGATTATAATTTATAATAATATCATGTTTTTTATGAGAACGATTTGCATGTTTACGTAATTTAATTGGTGATCTTTCAGTTTTATTTAATAAAGATTTTCGTGTACGAGTTTTAATATTAAAATCATCATCATCGTCATCAGATGATGAAGTTGTTGTTGATATTTCATTATTTTTATGTATTTTAGATGATGTACTGGCTTGATCATTATCAGATGTTAGTAATTTTTCTTTAGCTTTCTTCTCATCATTGGATGAAATATCAGAATTATTATGATTAGTTTTAGATGGTGTTAATGTTTCGAAAATATTTGAATCTCTTGGAACTAATAAAAGAAAAATTGAAAATAGTTTATTATGTTGTAAAAGATTCTATAAATAAGATCCTGGCAATTCAAAATCTTAGCAAAAATAGTTTTTTTTTGACGTTCTATTGTCATGGTCGAACTGAGCTGATCAAATTACCTATAAAAATGTTGTTTTTGTAATGAAACTTTGGAAAATCAGGTTGAAAAAAAACCAAAAATACTACATCTTGATAGTCTCAATATTTATGTGAACTTTTTTTTAATGGCTTTACTAACAGTATACTTAAAATTAATTACCCAAATGGACTATGAATATCCTGAAAATAGTTCATGCCCTTAGCTTATTGCTGTGAAGATACTACACTTTTAGAGTATTTTGTAAAACATGATCTAAAAAGAATGTTGAAGTATAAGGGTAGAGATTCAGACTACCTTCAGAGACATCAACATCTCCCTTTCATCACAGATCGTAAGTTAAGGGCAGAAACTCTTTTCACGATATTCATAGTTCATTTGGATCTACATAATGCACATAGTCTCGATTCAAAAATGATTTCTCAGTTGGAGATCTTCCGTTGTAAGATTGAAACTTGATGAAAATTAATTTTAAAAGTTGAATATACTATTCGATGCATTATTTTTTTCCTACACATATAACGAGTAAAACCATAAAACAAAAATTTAAATAACTATTGAGACTGATACTTTTGATATATTACAAATTTTATAAATTTTCCTGGTTTTTTTCAACCTAACTTTCTTACGTTTCACTAACAAAAACATCGTTTGAATATATATCGAAAAACAACATTTTCATAGTGATCTCGCCGAGGTCTATCCAACTATAACAGAAAAATGTCCAATAAAAATTTTGCTATATGAGTCAAATGATAAGTATCTGTCGTAATCTGAATTAGCAATAAATGTTGGTAAAGAAATTGCCAAAAAAATTTCAAATATTTAAATATCAATATTGGCTGAGAAGTGCAGCATGGACATCAGTACGTTTTATATAACAAAGTTTGATTTTTTTATATTCAATCTTATTTCAATATCCGATAAATGTTTTTCATTCTTGCAAACTATGATTATTTTTTTTTTCCTATAAAATATTCTACAAACATTTTAATACTCACTATCATTACTATTTGATGAATCACTAGCAGTAGAAAGTCTTTTTGACTTTACTAAAAAATAAAAAAAGAAAAAAGTATTTTGAACAAATAAATAAATTTCTTTATTTTTCTTTTTACTATTTTTCCATGCTATTGGCATATAACGTTCAGCATCAGCTTGTGAAATACGTTTTAAACAAATACTTGGTCTTAATAAGAAAACATCATCATCATCATCTGATGATGATAATTGATCATTTTGATTTTGACTATTATCACTTTGTTCTAATAAAATTCGTTTTGATTGTTCTTCTTCAGTTTCATTATCTGATTGAAAATGTATATTTGATGATATTGGTAATGAACATTCAAAGAATGTTTCATGTGTTGATGTTGAAGCAATAGGTATTTGTTCATTATCACTATTATTTAAACTATCATCATTAAGTAATTTTGTACGATGATATTCTTCTTCATTGTCATTATTTTCTATTGAAAATAAAAATTCATTTTTATTTATTTTCAAAATAGAAGAAAAAATTTAGTTATATACCGATTATTAATTGTTCAAGTTCAACAATTTTAGTTTTAATTAAATTAACTACATGAATATCATTTGGAATATTTTCTAATAACCAAATATTCTTAAATTCTTTTAACCAAATTAATAATTGACTTGTATTATTTTTCATATCTTTAAAATGAAAATTTTTTTTTTTTGTAATATAGATTCAAAATATATCAATAATATTCACTTGTAGATTATTTTAAATGCAAATATTTCCGTTTGATTATTGTTAGTTTTTATGAATCATTCTTCCTTGTTAGTCTAGTCGTTTTAAAATGTGACCTATAGTTAGTGACAGACACACACTTCTGGAAACAAAGCTTATTGGTAAAATTATCACGACAGGTGTCGTTGTCGCACGAAAGGTTTTGTTATCAGCAGCGCATCAGCAATCAATTCAGTATAATTATATATAAGTCAAGGATTATTTAAACTAATAAGAATACTGAAAAGTAGAGGGAGATAGTGGTACTAAAACTTTAACTTCATTTAAATGAAATGCTCAATTAAGAAAAAGATGCAGTTAGTTGAAAAGTTATTTAATTCAAATATTTATGCGTCAATCAAACACAAACTTGACCCCACTAATTAAATAAATAAATGTGCTTCAATGAAGTCACGTTATAAAGTTTGGTAAAGACTAGTACGTGACATAATACATGGTGAATAATATTAAAATAATAATTGAAAGTTAACAATAAACAAAAATAAGATTTTCGTTATGAAAGAAAGGAAATGACGATCAGGTGACTTTCTTCTTCCTTTCTTTCTGTAAATAAAAAAATGTTATGCTTAGTTTTTAACTAACATTTACTATTATAATTACTGTTGTTGAAATTAATCTAAATAAAATAATACAAATTGTTTTATGAAATAACATAAATCGTTCGAATTGTTGTTGGAATTGATCCAAATAAAACGAATATGATTCTTTTTTTTCTGAAGTGATATTCACTTTTTTGATTCATTTAAATAGGAAAAAAAGCATAATGTAGTTTTAAAAGTAACACTTAACATCGAAAGCATTGTTAAAACTAATCTAAAAAACATAATACTGATTTTCTTGAGTTGATATTTATCATTGGAATGCCTCTTGCGACTAGAGCCCATCGGACTCAAACGAGCTCTGGATCAACCCAATGCTCTCTAGTTGCGACTAGTCTAAATAGAATAAAAAAATCTTTTCTTTGTAAAAAAAACATTTATCTTTATCAGAGTGGGAATCAATCTAGATCGACCGATTGAAATTCTTGATGTAACGGGCAAAAAACTAATCGGTCCAATTGTACATTTCAACAGACGGAAGAAATCAGTGTATTTGAGAAGCCAACTAGTTATAAGGAAAAATTTATTATACAGCTCTACGAAGAAATACAATGTGAAACTCGTATAGCTCTTAGAATTCCTAATAGAGTAATAAGTTCTATTTTAGTTCGTAACGTTCTATATATGCTAATGCTAAAAGCGAAAGAAGAAATCTTTCAAAACTTTTCATCTAGCGACTCACAACACCTGATGTTGAAGAACATCAATGCTTGCTTTGTATGAGTTTCTTTACAGGAATTACAACACCTCTGCTGCTAAAGTTATACATTGTAAGATCTTATAGTATGCTGACATTCGACAGGTAAGGTGTGGATAAAAAGAATACTCACAACCCAAACTTTTACATTCAAATTCGCACTGCCAGGCACACATACACACACCCTAGCATGGAAATATCCAACATATGCATAAGATTACCAAACGTGCACCTTTAATGTAAATGTATATATGACTGAATCGAGTTATGCAGAAGAAAGAAAAAAATAACAATAGAATTAATTAACGTCAAACATTACTGTTGCGAATTCTTTCAAGTGCTTTGCAGCTGCTCACTTCATAGGGGTTGACAATAGACTGTGTGTAAACAGTAAGTTGGTTTTTTCCCGTTTCGATGTGAATAAATACAGGATTGTTTGTGCTGTTATTGTGTCATTAAAAAATGGTCGTAGGAGCAAATCTTAAGGTACACACTGAATATATAAGTGTTCTGGTACCACTACCATCGAAGGGACATGAACAGTTAGAATCTGGTTATAATTCTTCAACATCAGCATCATGTTCAGAAATTCTTCCAAAGATCAAAAGGCCAATAACTGCACAGCAAGATAAGCATGGTGAAAAAAAGTCAATATTTCCGGTTAACTCTGATCATTCAACAATAGTACAACATAACTTACAACAACGTCAAACAAAACACGCGTTACAACAGGTTAATCATACTCCAATCACCACATATCGTCGTCTAAAGACAGCCAATTCATTAATATCAGTGGATATGATGGTAACAAAAGAGTTCAAATCAAATCAAACGGTGAGTTGTAAATGAGCATTAACTAACTCGAGCGCATTGTCTCATAATTCAATCTTTCTTAACATCCATATTTGTAAATACTTTGTTTGACAAATAGATTTACTTGTTAGTCTGAAGAAAATCGAGCAATTTTTGTATTGTTGATGGCTGCAGAATTTCTTGTTTACAAATAAACTTCTAAAGAAGTTTTCTCGACAAAATAGATCAATTTTCAATTGTAAAAGTTGAATAATCTTTTAAAATATTCTAGGTTAAGTCTCTCTGATATTCTGTTTTCCCTCAAATTATTTCTAAGTAACAAATTCTTGTGTCGAACATAAGAATTCTGTCATCAGATGTCTTATTTCATGACTTGGAAATTCGGAAAATCTTTTATTAAAAAGCATAAGATCTTAGACTGTTTGAGTTTTCATATGTTCTTCAATAATGAGGGAATTTTTCGCATTTGAATGTTGAAATAATGTTTTGAATGTTTTCAAAAAGAAGAAAAACTCGAGTATTTAGAACGAGCGTTCACAACCAAATGCAATTATGTTAACAGTCTTATTCCACCATTTATCACAGTAAACGGTCGTGTTTCGCCGTATCGTAAACTAAGATATATGGTCGTATCCGATGGTCTACAATAAGATTATATACAGCCATAATAGGGTGGATAGACAAATGACGAAAGACAGCTATTAGTGACCGTGTTATGCCGTACCCAGTCTTTTACGATCTGATTTGTTAAAGCTGGATAACATTTATACAAATAAACATCCCATCTTTCGCTCTTTATAGACTAATGTTTTCTGACTTCAGAGATGGTTTAGGCGGGTGTAGGTTGAATCCGATGTGATGGTATCTAATATCCATATGGAAAACTCTCGACATTGAATTCAAGAGAATTATTTTTTTTTGTTATTAAACTCAGTGGGGTACGATAGAAGTTTGCTAGGAACTTTAGCATAATCTGTTAGTTTGCTCTAAAAAATATCTCGAAGGCAGAAAAATACTAATACTTACAATTCAGACAAGCTCGACAAATATCTAATTATACCAATTGTTGAGTATAGAGCACTTTATCGCGAAATAGCACTTGAAATAGAAAATCGACTTTTCAAAATATTTTAGAATATTTCAAGTGATCGTAGTCCTTGTCTGCTCACTCTCTCAAAATATCAGAAAGAAATTGCCAACTATTCTGATGACTGGGAATCAGATTATTCAGACGATTGCATATCGGATTGTGCAGATAATTGGAAACCAGCTTCAAAAGAAACACCAAAACCTACAAAAATACCTATGCAAAAAGAATCTACAAGTGATTTAAAAACAGATTCGAAAGAAGCAACAAAACCTACGAACGTGTCAACGCAAAAGGAATCTACAAGTGATTTAAAAACAGATCTGAAAGAACCACTAACGTTTATAAATGTACACGAACAACCTCAGTTTGAAACGGATTCATCGAATAATAATATACGCCTAGTGCCATCTGATCCCAACGCTTTTGAATCTGCGTTCTGTCAGCAACGCCAAGTAGCCATCAACAATATGGCCTATCGGACAGCAGTTCATAGCTGGAAGGCAAGAAGTATTAATGATGTTGTCAAGCTCATACTTGAGTTATCATTCGGCAAGAGCTTGATCGACCGAGCTTGGATTGTATTCTATTGGGTTTCTCAAAATATTGAGTACGATATTGAATCTTATTTTAATGGAAACATTCGACATCAAAGCACTGAAGACGTGTTTAACAACCGAAAAGGGGTTTGTGATGCCTTCGGTACAATTTTCGAGGCTCTGTGTAATGGAGTCCAGTTAGAATGCAAGAAAATCAGTGGATACGCTAAGGGCCACGGTTTTAAATTGGAAAAATCAACTTTTGATCGAACAAACCATGCTTGGAATGCTGTTCGTATTGATGGCCATTGGTATCTTGTCGATCCGACGTGGGGTGAAGGGTACATAGACGTTAAAAATCACAATGTAAAAAAGTTAAATCCATTTTACTTCCTCGTTCGTCCAGAACAGATGATTTATAGGCATTTGCCTGAAAATTCACAATGGCAATTATTGAAAACTCCTGTTTCGATGGGAGAATTCGTACGGTTACCATATGTCTATTCAGATTATTTTGAGCTTGGTCTTCATCTAGTGTACCCATGCCAATCTAATATGGCGTCGTTTAACTCAAATAAAGAACTAGCTGAAGTACTTTTACGAGCACCGCAAGATATAGATTGCATAGCCAGCATACAGCACGCAGGATATAAGGAAAACGAAGCTACTTGTCTAGTTCATTATGATATCGATCGTCAGCTTTGGCAATGTCTCTTTGCACCACAGATAGGTGGTTTTCATACGTTAACCATATTTGCTAGGCGAGTAACGCAGATGGAAACTAGGAACATCAATAATGAAGAAAGCTATTCTTGTGTAGTTCAATTTGGATTACAAGTTCCAGATGGTTTCAATGGAAGAAAGACTTTTCCGACAACATATTCTACATTTAGCGAACATAAATGTCAAATCATGGGACCTTTTGATGGCAGTCTCAAAGCGGGCTCAAAAGTGACGATTCAATGTCGTATTCCTGGTGCTTATTGTGCTCGACTTTTACTTGATGAAAATTGGCTTTCTGAAGACATTCTTAAAAATGATATGTTCAAAAGAGAATTTACTGTTCCTAAACGGGAAATCGTGATATATGTCCAATTCTCTGATAAAAAGAATCGATCGAGTTATGATGGACTATACAAGTATTCAGTTCATTAAACTGATTAAGCAATGAACACTTACATGTATCAGAAAATAGTTAACATTTTATTAAATAACTTCCTGATTTCTTTTATTAAACTATCACCAATAAATCAACAATTTTGAAGTGATAATATAAAGTTCGAAGAAAGATTCGAAAACTATTGAAAGTGAAGGTGAAGGTGAGTCGGTGATTAGTCGAGTATGGGTGTGGGTGTCATTGAAGGTGGTAGAACACCTACACACTCACACCATCTTGCTGTCAATAGAGTGTAAATATACAAATAAAAATTGTTTCTTCATTTGCATCACAGTGACGGACATCCGTTGATTCTCATAACATTTTAGTTCCCTGCTTATTTCTGTGACTACTTATTGTGTGATGAGAGTGAATCATAGTGAGGCTACATTTTTTGTAGAAGATTATTCTCATCTATCCATGGACGAATACCTCAGTTTCGCAATGATCTGATGGATGCTCTCTTAGATGAACATGCATTTGAAGTTTTCACCATTTGCGAGTATTGAATCTAGAATCCAACGGATGATTCATGTTGTGTCAACAGTAAGTTCTACTTCTGTGCTTCAAAATTTAATTGAGGTGCGTAGCAATCAAGAAAAACAAGGAGGAGTAACTTTTCAGAGAAAATACAATAGCTCTTATTTTACATGCAAGTATTTGATTACAATCTCTTCTTTGTGTTGTTATTTATTCTATTGTTTACATAGTAGAGACAAATGGGTTAAGAAGAGAATGGGAGCTTTTTTTGATCGATAACGGCTATTAGAAGTTGATATAATGTGGAGAAAAGTATCCGCACTTCTGATCTCCTTGAACTTCAATAGTTTGATTTTATGCAGATCTGATAGATAGCGACGCAGGTATTATGAGAGACGATGAAGAAAACAACATAAAAAAAAGTAAGGTGTCATATAGACGAAGTAGATGGAATTTGTTAATAGTTGTTGGCACCTTATCCTTTGTTTATCTCTTCTTTTCTCATTCATTTTTTTTTAAGGGAACGGCAACAAGTACTGTACTAGAACAATCTTTTTCTCTTTCGAATACAAACGGACGATAACGGAACTGGTTTCTCGTGCGTCTTAGCTATACAGAATTCATTGGTTCTAAACAGCATCGTTGATTGAAGTGAAGGCAACCATTGCATATCATTGTTCGCACAAAAAGCCTCAATGACGATTATTTTACCGAATTGCAGATAAAAAAAAGATGAGGTTTAGACTAGAAAATTGAATGCCCATTGTTACACATTCTTACAGCTTTCGATAGATTTCAAAGTATTTCCAATTTTTAAATTTATAAAATATATTCAAGTCCACTTTTCTCCCTTAAATAAGATGCATTAAATATGTTGACATAGGTTTCTTTTTTCTAATAAAATTGAGGGATGAGATGAAAACAAGATTTCTCAAGTCATATTACAAAGCCGCTTATCTTCTTTTTGTTTCTCTCATAATACTTCTCAGGATTAGACAAGAGACGATGTTTTCATCCCTCTAACAATTCTGTCTTATGATACACCAGTCTTATTGTTTTTTTTTGTTCTCTTTCCGGACACAGATAGGAATGGCGTTCTTTTCTATCACATGATCATAACTTCATGTTTTTTTCGCTTTGAACATTTTCTTCTCATTCTTATAATATTCTAAATTAACATTTGAACGCAACATATTACTCTTTCTTTTTCTTATTTTCACTTTCTCTATCAAACATACATTATCTTGTTTTACATTTAATCCTTATTTACAGTAAAGGGAGAGAACATGAAATTAACTTATAGATAAAAAAAGTAACTCATTTGCATGAAGAGGCAACACAACTTTAGTAGCAGCAACTTCCAAGAAAAAAATGAGTTTCACAGCTGAACAAGCTCGTTCATGAGTAGAAATGAACATTCTATTTTACTTTAAGGAGGATTCTACGAGATGATTTCGAGGTCCGTCCATCATATATCGCCTCTAGAAAGTGAAGTTCAGCTAAAGTTCCGCAGAGCTTCAGGTAAAAGGCTCGCTATAAATCGTTTGTCTTCAACATAATCCAAAATGAAGTAAGTTTGTGTTTTTCTATAATCTTATCAAAAGAAGTTGTTTTCTAATTTTGATATGTTCAAATCTGTCCATTGGTGTCTCACTGTGAGACTCCTATATAGTGATGTGTCGTTTTCTTTTGCTTTCTTTATTAACAGCACATTCGTTGTAACTTCGTTTTTTTCTCACTTATCTCAGAGTTGTTCATGTAATTTCTCGTCTTGTTAACTTCGTTCTTTGCCAATAAACAGGTTTTAATAAAGTATGAAAAAGAGTTAAAAGAATCTGTATACATAAGCATCGCTGTCTAATTTCCGGTTGCTTCATTAGTTTTCTACGTATAGCAGGAAATGAAAAAAGAAAGGGAATGATTCAATTTTGATCCTAAATAATTGTTCCAGTAATTCGAGCGTCCTGGATATTGCAGCAAAACAAATGACTTTCTTTCTCCTGAAGCAATGCATCTCGAAGAAAAAACAGCTTTATTTACGCATTCAGCGTTTGTAAGTGTTACTTTCTTGTTGAATGCAGAAACAACAACTCGATTGGATTATTCCTGAATTGTTTTTCTCTCTGTCAAATCCGAGATATATCAACAAGCGAAAAACATTTACTAATAAGTAACCACTCTCGGGCTCTTGCCGTTTTTTTTATTTTCAATTAGTTATTTTCACGCATAGGATCTCGTTTTCTTGATGTTGAAACAACAATCTATTTCTTCAAATGTGATTTTTCGAATGAATTTACTAATTAAAAAAAAAAGTGTTTCGTTGTTACAAGATTTGTGTAGAGATTACTTTTGTATGACTGAAAATAAATATTATAGATAAAATATATATATTAGATCTGAAATCATCGAATCAAAATGTCAACGTCACTTGGTGAATCTCTTGCGTTTATTGCACAAAAAGCGTGCATTTATTTTGGTATCCCACTACTTATTGTTGGTACACTTGGAGGACTTCTCAACGTGATTGTATTTCTAAGTCTTCAAACCTTTCGAGAAAGTTCATGTGCATTCTATTTAACAATCATGTCAATTGTCAATGTTGGTCAGTTAATAACGGGCCTCTTAGTTCGTATCATGATCACCGGCTTTGGTATTGATTGGACGCAAACTTCATTAATTATCTGTAAATTGCGATATTTCCTTTTTCCAATAGCTGCATTAATTTCATTTACAAGTATCACCTTGGCAACGATGGATCAATACTTTGCTACTAGTTTTCGTCGTCGTTGGCAAGAATGGAGCAATATCCAAGTAGCTCATCGTCTAATGGCAGCATTTAGTATCATTTGGATCCTTCATGGAATTCCATATTTGGTCTTTTTTAATCAAAATATTTCGTCTGCTACAGGCAAAGTCATTTGTAACTCTCCAAACGATATCTTTGCACAATATCGTTTTTATTTTGTCACTCTTGTGCTCACAGGTTTTCTTCCTGTTGTTATTACAATCTTGTTCGGATACTTGGCATATCGCAATGTACAACACCTGGCTCATCGAACATTGCCTCTTGTTCGACGTGAACTCGACAAACAATTGACAGTGATGGTTCTTGTACAAGATATCGTCAATGCCTTTACTGTTGTGCCATACGCTATTGTAACGACTCTTACACTAAACACAAGCCTCATGAGTAATCCTGTTATCGCAACAAAAATACAGTTTATTGCTACTCTAACTGTCTTGTTATATTATGTTAACTTTGGGGTAAGATATTCATCTATCAGAAAACAATATAAATCATCATTCTGTTTAAAAAAATATTTCTACACATTTCTAGAGCCCATTTTTCATCTATATCTGTGCATCCGAACGATTTCGTCGACAATTGATCTATGTGGTTTTCACAATTCATTTTGAACGATGGCGACGACCAAGAATAGTTGTTAATCAAGTGTCACCGGAATCTTAAAGAACACTGGTTTATATTCATTTAATGAATGTACACATTTCAACATTTAAACAATTTCTTTTTCTTTAAATCATTTTATGTCAAATACATATTGTATTTTCATGAGTACAATCTATTAGAATCATCAAATTGAAAAAGCACATGCTATAACTGCGAAACATCTTTTGAAGGATCAAAGTGATATACAATATTGACTGCGAGTTCGGCCATAATCTTCGGTACATAGAAAGAATAAAGCTAAACTGAATGACCAAAGAGTTCTTACTCGATCTGTTCGAATTTCTGTTCATTGCTTATCTCATTCATGCCTTTCATAGTTGGAATTCTCGATTTGACAATTTGCTCTGGCAAAATTTCTAATTTTGTGCCACTGTGACCTGGAATCGTAATGATATCACAGTGGCCGGAGGAAATGACTATGGATCAGCATTGAATCAGCTGGATCATTCCGATGGATTTTTTTAGAGATGACAGTGGTGCTATCTATATTATGGATGCTTTCAATAATCGTATTGTCAAATAGGTTCGGGGTGCTTCAATTGTTGGTAGCCAAGAAGCTAACAGCAGTAATTTGTTAAGCAGGCCGACTAGTGTTGCCGTCGGCAAGAATGGAGTTATGTTGATATGTAATAGAGATAACCTGTATATGTGACAATAGTTTCCGAATGAGGATCAATGTCAAACTTTTCTTTCGAACATTTGATGTTGGAGATTGACGTTAGACAATCAGGGATTTCTAGGTATTTCTAATTTTGAGAGAAGGTATTTTTGTGGCTGGTGAAAATGGAATTGAAAATAATACCAATCAATTGAATAACCCCTTGTCACTGGTAGTTGATCGGATGAGTACTATGTATATCGTTGACTATGACAATAATCAACTTATTCTTTGGTTTGAAAGCGCAAGATCAGGCGCAGCTCTTATCGGTGAGTTAGGTCACGGACGTCGAATCTCTCAATTGAATGATCCCATTGATATAGCATTTGATGTAGATAGCAACTTGCACGTAGTCGATAATTTCAACACTTATATTCAAAAGTATACTATCG